GCTTGGGATGGTGTTTTTCAATAAAAATATGACAAACAAAACACACACACACACAAATATAATATATATATATATATATATATATATATATATATATAATTTTTTATAATTTTTTAACATCGGTGTTAAATTTTGACATTTGACACCAAATTTCAACCTTTGATTTTCATCAATCAACGGTTATATTTATTGAAAATTAATATTAATTAATAAGTTTAATTCTCAATAAATGATAACCATTAATCGATGGAAATCAAATGTTAGAATTTGGTGTCAAAGGATCTTGCCCCATACATATATATGGAAAAAATATTTCTCCGGCAACTTGAGATAAATTTATCTCCGGCACTCCAAAACTAAGTCGTTTTGTTTATTTATTTTCTTATGTTAATTGATTTATCTTTAAATAGTTATGATTTCCTTTTTCTCTCTCTTCCTTTATCATCATTGATCGATCTTTTATATGGTTATGATTTAGTTGCCGGAGATAAAATTATCTCAAGCAGTTTGATAAACGATAAGCCCTTTATATATATTGGTTTAGCGGATATACAATGGCTACACCTAAGAATTGGTGCAGTCATATAAAACTACGACGTTTTATAGTGTGAAAGTATTAAATATGAGAATCATAATTATACAAAGATGGAAATAAATATAATGTTATCATTTTCTACAATTAATTTTGAGCGCAAATTTCCTTTATCTCACCAAGAACAATGTAATTTTTAGGTGACTACACCAATGCTTACAAATCAGAGTCGTTGATCTTTTTCAATCTAACGGCTTTTAGATGAGGTGTCAAATTTCAAATTTGACACCGGTGTCAAAGGATCCTACCTCATATATATATATATATATATATATATATATATATATATGAGAAAAATATTTCTGCAATTAAAACGACATCATTTAGGAATTGAAATATTAAAATCAGTGTTATTAACACCGGACCTGACCTAGTGTTATTAACAAGAGAATTCGAACCCAGTACCTTGGAGTGAAGAGAGCCGTTTCCTACCACTACGCCACCATGACTTATTGAATAATTTACACCATTTAATATATAACTTTTAAGTTAAGAGAATTATTTCAAAAACTGCATGTAATGGGGTTCGAACCCCTTACATTAAGGACAAACAACATAGCAAATACCACTAAACTACATCAGGCCATTGTGTAGTTGGCACCATTTAATATATTTATTAGAGTTTATATAATTAAGTATAAAATATAAATTTATATATATATATCTGATTCATGCGGTTCAACCAGTGACCCACCGGTTGAACCAGTGACCCGGTACCTCAACCGGGTCAATGACCGGTCCGGTTCTAATAACATTGATAAAGACTATAATAACCCTTAAATAAATTAAAATTATAAAAACTCTATTATTATCTCTTAAAACGTCGTCGTATTGGACTTACTGTAGATAACTTATATGCAGAAAAAGCAAACCCTATATATATATATATATATATATATATATATATATATATATATATATATATAGTGTGTGTGTGAGTTTAATATTTCTCATATTATAGGAGATAAATTTATCTTTCAACACACATAAAAATATGTGGGACTCACATTGGCTCAAATAAATCACACATACTTTTATATGTGCGAAGGAGATAAATTTATCTCATATAATATGAGAAACATTAAACTCTATATATATATATATATATATATATATATATATATATAGAGAGAGAGAGAGAGAGAGAGAGAGAGAGATAAGATTATTTAACACCGATATTAAACTTTGAAATTTGACATCAAATCCTAACCGTTGATTTTCGCCAATCAACGATTATTATTTATTACGAATTAACAATTAATTAATAAGTTTGATTGACAAAAATTATAATTGTTGATTGATGAAAATCAACGATTAGAATTTGGTGTCAAGTTTCATTAAAATCATGATATTTTTGAATACCAAAAGATTTTTAGTCCTAATTTAAAATCTTGATTAAATATCATTGGAATTGTTTTTTGAAAATATTTCAATCGATTTATTGTCTCGCTGCTAGTTCGATTCATGGTGAATCCAAAATTAATGTTTTAAACCCCTCACAAAAATAATTTTGACATCCTATAAAAAAACTTAATTATTCTTATTGAATAACACACGACTATTTTAGATTACTCAAAAATTCTAATTAAATACTAATATTTTTTATTAAAAAAAATTCTTTAAAATCTTAATTGAATACATCGTTAATTGAGATTATGAAAGCAAAGTTCTTCTCTATTTTGGCATTTTATGCTGCAGGATGTTGTCGAAATGAAAGAACTTACGGAGACACCACGTATGTGCATCCCCAAATTTGCAAAATTCATGGGTGGATTTAGAGTGGAAAAAATGGGATTATATGCGCATAATTTTTAAATTGTATAGTTTATGTTGAAATAACTTATGTACCATAATTTTGAAAGTGGAAGTGCATCATATCATAAATATAATTTTAGAAATGACTTATGTTAAAAAAAAAATTGACATTATGATGTGAGGAATCATAATAATATAAATATAGATCAATAATAATAAAAAGAGAGAAAAAAATATATTAAAATAAATAGTTATAAAATTATTAACATTAATTTATTTTTATATGATTATAATTTTTTTACATCATCATGTTATATATATATATATTTTAAGATGAGATGATCCATTTTCTTTCAAAAGTACACCCATGAAGCGTTGTTTTTATCCAAAAGAACCATACTTTTGAAAAGAAACGCGTAGCTGGTTGGTTGATATTTTTCTTCTTCTTAAAGCGTGGCGAAGGCGATCATTGGTTCAAAACTCAGTCACGGAAAAGGAAGTTCAAGTGTCGGTGAGATTATAAACCTCAAGAGTCTGAGCTATAAATTGAAAATGAATAGATAAATAAATTCTATTTTTGACCCTTTCGAATCAATGGTCATAAATAATTAAGATTTCATATGTGACATTGTGACGTGAAAACAAGATTTTTTTGGTGCCCCTAGCGTACGGGGTAGGGTCGTGCAAAAATTACCGGTAATAGATACCGTGTACCAATTAAAGAAGTTTAGGCTTTTTGACAGATGTTATGTTTTTTTTCTCAAAAAGTATCTGTGAATTACTCTCCATTCATGATACCACGTGATGGATCTCCCAATCTCAGTGACTGTGTTAAATAATTGGCTCGTATATTCAAAGTTTAAATAACTTCTGTAGATTATTTTAAAATTAATGTTCTCTAAATTTTGTTATTACTTATCCTCCCATGCTTTTACATACAAATTCATTTAAGTTTTAATTTATAAATGGAAATATGCCAAAAATACCTTTCTATTACAATATATATATATATATATATATAGTAAATACCTTTTTGCTCCTCAGCAAATTTTACAATGTCTGATTTAGTCCCTAGCAAATAAAAAGGTCCATTGTGTTCCCTAAGAAATTCAAAATGGACCAATTTAGTTAAAATCGTGGTCCCTCACAATTTCAAAAAAGGTCCATATTAGTCCTCAAAAGGATTAAAATGGGTTCATTTTGTATTTCTTAGGGACCACGATGGGCCTTTTTATTTGTCAGGGACTAAAACGAGCATCGTAAAATTTGCTAAGGACCAAAAATGTTCTTTACTTATATATATATATATATATATATAACTCTTTATATCCATGTTTAACAATTTTAATTTTCAGTCTCACACAAATTTGTAAAGCGAATATTATTTTTTTCTTCATCTTTAGTCTCTTACTCTTTATAGGTAGGATGTAAAGTGTCCGATGTGCTCCAATTCACACAACGCTTCACCTACAGTTCTACAAATATGCAAAGGAGTTATGGTGGAAATAATAATGTTGTTCTTTGCTTCTTTTATCCCCAAGTACTTTAGAAGTAAGCGGGTTTTTTCTTACTTCTATTGGATATGTGTTATGACATTATATTTAATAATTGATGCAATTTTAAATGGAGTTTGGAAAAAAAATCACCAAAAATAAGAAAATTAGGAATAAGTGATTTTAAATAAATCATTAAACAATATTTTCAAGCGCAAGTAATACTTTTACAACAAAGAATAAATTAGGTCAGAAGAAGCGAATGAAACAAAAATATATTTGTGATTTTTTTCACTTTTGACACTTTTTTTAAGTTAAAAATTATTTTTAAGCTAAACTTAAATAAAAGAATTTAAAAAATAAAGTTAAAAACTGTTTGATGACTTATCACTAAACCACTTTTATTTGTTGGACATAATGTTTATAATTTAATATTTATTATATATTATTTTGAAATCCGATTGAATCCGCTTAAACTATTAACCCAACACTTCGACCAAATCGATGACCAGATCAAATTTTAAAACACTGATTTGTTTATTATATAAATATATTTTGAAAAAGAAAAGATAAAAAAATTTATTGTTAGAACTTAGAATGAATTATTAAAGTAACGGATAATATTTACAAATATATATTTAAAATAAAGATAAATATGTAAAATAAATATAAAGAATAAAAAAAGCGGGCATACATCTTAAAAAAAAAACCCTATGAGAAGCTTTTAACTTTTCATTTTTTTTCTTTATTATAATTAAAACTTTTTTTATAATAATAACTTTTATAAAGATATATTTAGATAAGCTTATACTTTTAAAGAAAAGGGAAAAAAATAAAACATACCAAATAGGGACACAATACTCGATAATTTTCAAGAATGAAAGAAGTTTGACACAATAACTCATCATCATATTACATGTGGAGCTTGAGTAATGATCCATTAATTATTCATTAACTTAATTTATACCATCTGAATAGACTAATTTCTAAATTAATTACACAGTTTTTTTATTTTTTATTTTTTATTTTTTAATCTTAGATTCTCATAAAATTTGAGACACTGGAATCCACCCTTTTATTATACTGAAAACAAATTTATGACATCTTAAGAGGCAGCTAGCGGGGGTTTCTCATTGTATTCTGTCTACTCCGTCACGTCAATGGATCACCGTCCCCACCTGCCTTCATCAAACGACGACGTCGTCACTGTGAACGTCGACTCTGCTCCCACTCTTCACCTATCCAACAATGCCTTCATTCCTCAACCTCAAAAACAACAGGTATTGCACTATCAAGGGGATTATTAGTGTTTATTAATAACTTATGATTATGAATAACAGTAGTAGTGATGTGATAAATAATATATAATAATATTCGTTTCTTGGTATTTTGAAGGGAAAAGGGGATGATACATTTGTTCTTGCATACAAGACTTTGGGTGTGGTATTTGGAGGTCTTGTGACATCACCCCTTTACGTGTACCCTTCAATGCAACTCAAGTCTCCAACACAAGATGACTATCTGGGCATTTACAGTATCATGTTTTGGACTCTTACCCTTATTGGCCTTGTTAAGTATGCTAACATAGCTATCAAAGCTGATGACCACGGTGAAGGTAGGTTACTACTTATAATAACAATTTTTATTTTTATTTTTATTTTTGAGATATTCCAATTGATTCAGACTAGTTCGATTCGGGACGGGTCCCGATATTAAAATTTTAAATTTTTCTCAAAGATGATACTGTAAGAATCAAACACATACTCTGCTACTTACCTGCTCAGTTCTTTTACGTCAACTGTTTGCTAAAAATAATATGGTATTTGATCTTCAATTGATAGCTATTAACTATGAATTTGAATTGCAGGTGGTACTTTTGCCTTGTATTCATTACTTTGCAGGCATTTGGACATTGGAATCCTGCCTTCTAAGCAACTCGGTTTAAACTCAAGTACATCTTCAATCATGAATAGGGGCACTCAAACGCGTACTTGGCTTGCTAAATTGTTCGAAACAAGCATGGTTGCTCGAAGGGTCTTGCTTTTCCTTGCTATGTTAGGTACTTGCATGCTTATTGGTGATGGTATACTTACGCCTGCAATTTCAGGTTTGCTCCAGAATTTTACTTTTTTTTTTTTTTTTTTTAACCTTTGTGGCTTTTGACAGTTAAAAAAAATGTTTTTTTTTATTCAACTTTGTAAATTTGTTCTTAGTGCTGTCAGCAATGGATGGAGTGAGAGCGCCTTTTCCTTCAGTAACCAATTGTAAGTTTTTGGCTTATGCAATTTCACTCTGAGCTTCAGATTCCTTAGTATGCAAAATACAATCAGACTTGTGGAGAATTTTAATATCAGTTGATTTGGCTGGCAATATTTTCTTATGTTCTCATTTTTCACTAACAAACTTTCGTAATTAATTTAATTAAATACGGAAAATTTGTGAACTTGCTGCCAGCAGCATCCTCAACAAATACTAACAAAAACAGATGAAACATATGAATATTGCAGTATAGGAAGAGATTATGGAAATAACGTAGCTTGTTAGACTTTCCTTACCAATAATGTAATGATTTAAATTGTGCGATTCTGCATATGTCAGTTATAATGAAGTTGTTTGGTAAGTAAAAATGGTGCGTTAAATATGATAAAACCATCAAAGGAAACTTTTTATCGTAATAAGTTATTTTTAGAGTAGACTTGAGTTTGTTAACTTTGTCGTGCAATTTGTTCTCATGATTTATATAAACTATAATTTCTGTTTATGCTTATGCTGTTGCAGCAATGGTGGAAGGACTCTCTGCAGTTGTCTTGGTCGCTCTGTTCTTGCTGCAAAAATTTGGTACATCCCGTGTCAGTTTCCTCTTTTCCCCAATAATGGGTGCATGGACCCTGAGTACCCCACTTGTAGGAATTTACAACATCATACACCACTATCCAAGTATATTCAAGGCTTTATCTCCGCACTACATTTTCCGTTTCTTTTTAAGAAATGGAAAATCTGGTTGGCTTTTACTTGGTGGTACTGTTCTGTGCATTACAGGTATGTTTTTTTAATCCTTATTGCACTATATACCATCATTGTAATAGAAGTGAGAAAATTAATTATCTTTGAAGGACCCCTTTCTTTCTATGTCAAATCATATTATAAATCCATATGCTATGTTCTAGTACTTGTAGGTTTCAGCAGGTTAGGCTATGGACTAAATAATGTTGCTATATTAGAATTATGCTAAAGAGAACCTTGCAAGTTAGTTAATATTGAGGTATCCACTAGAAGTGTCTAGAACATAAAGACTAAAAGGTGGAAGATTGTGATAATAACTGAAATTAGGATGCAAAATAGGGAGACCAAGCTCCTTACAAGCAGAGGTAGCCCTCTGTTTAAACTAAAATGTAGAAGGAAAAAAACAAGATAACAATAGAGATTCTGCAGCTCAACAGAATGCCCCAATTCTGGTATCATACCAGTATTCCCTTCTCTACTCAAAGAACTCTTCCCTTGGCACCTTTTCTGCAGTGGGCATTTTCCTATTTTCTCCAATTCCTCTCGTCTCTCCTATCAAACACATGCAGCCCAACATTTCCATTCAGCATTTCAGCCCACTACTCCTGTTTCTTTTATCTAGCATAAACAACAGCTACGGGTCTATTGGATTGTCTAGAAGGGCACGCCAGTTTTGTTGTTGTTCTGATATGATTATAGCGATCATTTACTGAAGTATAAAATTTGATTATTTTCAAGTGGCATGAAAAGATTCACCATTCTTCTCAAAATGTATGTGCATTTGTATCATAATACATATTTGTTTCATTTTTTGTTTTTAAATTTCTTCAGGTTCTGAGGCAATGTTTGCTGATCTTGGTCATTTCAATCAGCAGTCCATTCAGGTTGATTTTTATATTTTGTGGTCTGTCTTACAAGGTTATACTTCCTTTTTAGCCAGTAACCATCTTTATCTTATTTTCTTCTTCTTTGTTATTTTGGTAACAGATAGCTTTTCTATTCACAATATACCCATCTTTAGTTCTGACTTATGCGGGACAGACAGCATACTTAATCAAGAATCCCAATGATCATGATGATGGCTTCTACAAATTCATACCAACCGCAGTCTACTGGCCTATGTTTATTATTGCAACATTGGCTGCAATTGTTGCTAGCCAGTCATTAATATCAGCCACCTTTTCTGTAATCAAGCAATCTGTAGTGCTGGATTATTTTCCTCGAGTAAAGGTTGTACACACATCTCATAATAAAGAAGGAGAGGTTTACTCTCCTGAAGTGAACTACATCCTAATGGTCCTTTGCGTTGCTGTCATACTTATTTTTGGAGATGGAAAAGATATTGGAAATGCTTTTGGTATGTCAGTCTCTAAAGCCCTTTGTTTGCTTACATAACATCATACAGTTACAACCTGATGAAGAAAAAACAATTCGAGTTTATTTACATTATAAACTACTATAACTGTTTCTTTTGTGCAAGTCTTGAATTTGAGATTCATCAATGGTAGACTATAGATGAATAGAAGGCTTTTGTTATGTCCAAGTGTGTCTTGGTATAATAAATGGGGGGCCGCAAGCTATTCTTCACGCAAGAATCTGGCAGTTCTTCTCAATCATAACATCTGTATCAACTGTGATAGTTTCTTACATCTATAAATAAACAAAGCTTTGGCCATATGGCAACCTGAAGACTGTCTTCTATTTAATAATTGGAACTATTTATTGGCAGTCTTTGCAATCTTCTGATGATGGTATAACATTTATTGCAGGTGTTGTTGTGAGCCTAGTAATGCTTATCACCACCATATTACTTACATTAGTCATGATCATGATATGGAGAACTCCTGCCATGCTGGTTGCTTTATACTTCATCGTGTTTTTTGTCATGGAGGGAGTTTACGTCAGTGCAGTTTTCACTAAATTTGCTGAAGGTGGATGGATTCCTTTTGCCATATCATTTATCCTTGCTTTCATCATGTTTGGTTGGTTTTATGGTAGACAAAGAAAGGTGGAGTATGAGTTAACCCACAAGATAACCTTCGACAGACTTGAAGAGCTTTTAGCTGACTGCAGTTTTCAAAGGGTTCCTGGGCTATGCTTCTTTTATACTAACATTCAAGATGGGCTGACTCCAATTCTTGGACACTACATAAAGAACATGAAATCACTTCATAAAGTCACAATATTCACAACTCTTCGATATTTGTTAGTCCCCAAGGTTGCTTCCCATGAAAGGATTGTCATCAGGAAATCAAATCTCAAAGGGGTATATCTTTGTGTTATTCAGTATGGCTATGCAGATACTCTGGATTTAGCAGGAGATGATTTTGTAGGTCAAGTCATTAGTAGTTTGGCACTACATGTACAGAACTGTTCTTGCAATCTTTCATCTGATTCTCAAGTGATTGGAGAAGAGATTTCTAGTTTAGAAGAAGCTAGGTGTTCCGGGGTTGTTCATGTTCGTGGAAAGACAAGATTTTATATTGGCCTGAACTGTGGTTGGTTTGATAAAATCATGCTTGGTTTTTATGAATTCATGCACAGTAACTGTAGATCTGGCCTGCCTGCTCTAGGGATTCCATTACAGCAACGAATTGAAGTTGGAATGCTATATGAGGCTTGAAAGGTTACATTAACACCTAAACACACATATATATGGAGAAATTAGATTTAGCTCCCCACAGTGTCACATATGTATTTTTGTGCATTTCTCCTCATACTTGATGAACATAATTGTCCCTGTCTTCTCCAAAACTGATATGTATGCATGGTTCTCTCATATTAAAATTTCACTTATTATGTGAAATTTTCGTGTTTATCTTTGTTAGAATATTAGATATGATATGATTAGATATGATTGGATTCCGTCTTATCCGTAAATATTCTGACTGTATTAGGATTAGGTTTGGGCCTTTCACTTAAGCCCATTAGGGTCTCTATATATTGTAACTCTCTGACACAGATCAATACACAACATGTTATTTTATATTCAAGTTGGTATCAGAGCTCTTTCGTTCTGGGAACCCTCGCTTCCGCTTAGAAACCTTGTTTTTTGCTTTAAAACCTAAGCCCACTGCTTAGGAGTCCTCTTTCTTGCCGTGCGTCCTTCCGGCAAGCCTTCTAGGGCTGTAAACAGCCTCTGAGTGATTTTTCCAAACGCGTCAGCACCTCCGACGGCCACCGGAACCACCGCCCGCCGTCAGAATCACTGTTCAGGCAACCAGAGACTTTTTCCGGCGACTTTTCCGACCAAACTTCACGCGATCAGGACCCTCTCTTCCCGGCGACCAGGTCTGTGGTGGTCCGGTCAGCAACTCATCTCCCACGCGCCGTCACGCGCCACCTGTCTTCTCTGCGCGTGGGCTTCACGCGCCACCTTCTGCCGGCGCGTGAGCACTATTCCGGCGGCTTTTTCCGGCCGGTCTTGGACAGAGAGGCTTGCCTTCTCCTCCCCTTTCTGGATTTGTGATTGTTTCTCTGTGGGTCTGACCTTAGACGCGTGGTTCTTCTTGATTGGATATCGTTTGCCTTCGTTTACGGCTTTTATATTTTATCTTTAAATGGCAGCAGCATCTCCTGATCTCTCGGAGGTTAACTCTCCTTCTATTGTTGCAAATATAGCTCAGTCAGACAATGCATCATTTGATTCAGGTTCGGACTATGTTACACTCCAAACCCCTCTCAGGAAGGCTTCTCCTCAGTCTCAGCCTTATACTGGTAATCCCGTTGCTTGTGTTTCTCATTCTACATCACTTGGCACTTGGATATTTGACTCTGGTGCTACCGATCATCTCTGTGGTAATAAGGAACTCTTTACATCTCTTACTTATTTTGATCATTTACCGTCTTTTACCCTTGCGGATGGAACCAAAGCCCCAGTTCGTGGTATTGGACAAGCTTGTCCGACCTCTACCTTGGCCCTGACATCTGTCTATTACATTCCTGGCATCCCTTATAACTTAATTTCTATTAGTAAGTTGATCCACTCCCTCACTTGCACCATTACTTTCTCTAACCATTCTGTTTTCTGTGCAGGATCCGGGTACGGGGAAAATGATTGGAGTGGGTCGTGAGTCACGGGGGCTTTATTATCTGGATGTGCCTCGTCCTTCAGTAGCATGCTCTCTCACAGAATCTCCACAACTTATCCACAGTCGCCTTGGTCATCCAAGTCTTTCAAAGTTGCAGAAAATGGTTCCTCTTTTGTCCGGTCTTCAGTCTTTAGATTGTGTGTCATGTCAACAAGGGAAGCATACACGCTCCTCTTTTGCCAGTCGAGTCAATAAACGAGCTGATGCCCCTTTCTCTCTTGTTCATTCAGATATCTGGGGTCCAAGTCGTACCTTGTCTGTCTTAGGTTTTCGGTATTTCGTTACCTTTATTGATGATTTTTCCCGTTGCACTTGGACCTATTTAATGAAAAATCGTTCCAAGTTATTTTCCATTTATAAAAAGTTTTCTACTGAGATCCATACTCAATTTGGTGTTTCTATTCGTATTGTACGTAGTGATAATGCTAAGGAATATGTTTCTATTGATTTTTCTAATTTCTTGGCCACACAAGGTACTTTACATCAAACTACTTGTCCTCACACTCCACAACAAAATGGGGTGGCTGAACGTAAAAACAGACATCTCATTGAAACTGCTCGTACCCTTCTTATTCATATGCAGGTTCCCCTTCACTTCTGGGCAGATGATGTACTCATCTCTTGTTTTCTCATCAATCGCATGCCTTCATCTGTGCTCCACAATGACATTCCTCATAATCTATTGCTTCCAGATGTTTCTCTTTATCCTCTAACTCCACATGTCTTTGGTTGTACTTGTTTTGTTCATGATCTCACTCCTGGTAAGGATAAGTTAACATCCAAAGCCTTTCAGTGTATCTTTCTTGGTTATTCTCGTCTTCAAAAGGGTTATCGTTGTTATTCTCCCGACCTTAAGCGTTACTTAGTTTCCGCTGATGTCACTTTTCTTGATCAACAACCATTTAATTCTATCCCATCTCAGATGTCACAGGTTGATCATGTACTTCCTGTCCCTTTTCTTGACTTGTCTTTGCCAGCTGCAGGTGCTTCTATTCCAGATGAGCAACCTATTGCTTCTATACCTGAGGACCGTCCCACTTCTCACTTATCAGCGTCGCAAAACTGTGCCTCCTGCCGACTCGACTCTTGCTGACTCATCGCCCACTGCTGTTGCTTCTTCCCCTCCGGATCCTCCATCAGAGACTATTCCCATTGCTCAAAGAAAAGGTACACATACTACTCGTAACCCTTATCCTCTTTATACCTTTTTGAGTTATGACCGTCTTTCTTCACCTCATTTCACCTTTGTTTCTAGTCTTTCTTCTATTTCTATTCCTAAGACCACAGGTGAAGCACTTTCCCATCCAGGGTGGCGCCAAGCAATGCTTGATGAGATGACTGCACTTCATTCCAATGGCACTTGGGACCTTGTTCCTGCTCCTCCAGAGAAGTCTATAGTTGGTTGTCGCTGGGTTTTTACTGTGAAAGTTGGACCTGATGGCCATATTGATCGTCTCAAGGCACGTTTAGTTGCCAAGGGTTTTACTCAAATCTTTGACCTTGATTATAGCGATACATTTTCTCCGGTCGCTAAGATGGCGTCAGTCCGCCTCTTTCTTGCCCTTGCTGCTGTTCGTCACTGGCCACTCCTTCAACTTGACATCAAAAATGCCTTTCTCCATGGTGATTTACAAGAAGAAGTTTACATGGAGCAACCACCTGGTTTTGTTGCTCAGGGGGAGTCTGGAAAGGTGTGTCGTCTTCGGAAATCCTTATATGGTCTCAAGCAGTCTCCTCGAGCATGGTTCAGTCGCTTCAGTTTTGCTGTTCAGGCGTTTGGCTTAATCCGCAGTAAAGTTGACCATTCTGTGTTTTATAGGATTACATCTCCTGATAAGTGTATCTATTTGTTAGTCTATGTTGACGACATCATTCTCACCGGAAGTGATCAAGACGGAATTCGTCAGTTAAAACAGCATTTGTTTAGTACATTTCAAACAAAGGACCTTGGGAAGCTGCGTTACTTCTTGGGAATTGAGGTGGCGCAATCCAGACAGGGCATTTCTATCTGTCAAAGGAAATATGCCTTGGATATCCTAGAAGAAACTGGTATGTTGGGGAGTAAACCAGTTGATACACCTATGGATCCTAATGTCAAGTTATTGCCCGGACAGGGGGAGCCGTTATCTGATCCTGGACGTTATCGGAGGCTAATTGGGAAGCTCAACTATCTTACTGTGACTAGGCCAGATATTTCTTTCGCTGTTAGTATGGCTAGTCAGTTTCTTGATTCCCCTTGTGATTCACATTGGGATGCTGCTGTGAGGATCCTCCGATACATCAAAGGAGCACCAGGAAAAGGTTTGTTGTATTCAGATCAGGGAAATACAGAAATTTGTGGTTATTCAGATGCTGATTGGGCAGGATCACCCTCGGACAGACGTTCTACTTCTGGATATTGTGTCTTCTTTGGAGGAAACTTAATTTCGTGGAAGAGCAAGAAACAACCTGTTGTTGCTCGATCTAGTGCAGAAGCTGAGTATCGTGCAATGGAAAATGCTACCTGTGAGTTAGTCTGGTTAAAGCAGTTGATTCAGGAGCTTCATCTTTGTGAACAGAAACAACCCATGACACTCATCTGTGATAATCAAGTTGCGCTACATATATCCTCTAATCTTGTCTTTCATGAGAGGACCAAACATATAGAGATTGATTGTCACTTCATTCGAGAAAAGATTCAGTCAGGAGAAATCAAGACTGCTTTCGTCAACTCCTCTGATCAACTAGCGGATGTTTTCACTAAAGCTCTTAGAGGTCCTCGGGTTGAATACATTTGTAACAAGCTTGGTGCTCATAATATATACGCACCAGCTTGAGGGGGAGTGTTAGAATATTAGATTAGATATGATTAGATATGATTGGATTCCGTCTTATCCGTAAATATTCTGACTGTATTCTGACTGTATTAGGATTAGGTTTGGGCCTTTCACTTAAGCCCATTAGGGTCTCTATATATTGCAACTCTCTGACATAGATCAATACACAACATATTATTTTATATTCAAGTATCTTCTTCTTTTTTGTTAATGTTGACAAATTGTAATTGAACTCCATTTATTTAATCTATGTGAAGAGAGTCATAGATGTAAAAAACTTAACATAACCAAAGTCATGTAAATTTATTGTACCAAAAAAAAAAAATTCATGTAAATTTTCAACATGAGAGGATCCACTCCTCTCAAATTTGTCCTTGTTTTGCAAACATGGAGAACTTAGATTTCACTAAGTTGGAGGTGCATGGAAGCATGGAGATTTTGGTGTTGATTCGATCTCTTTAGGAATTTTTCATAATTTTGAGCTAGTTTCAGTCATGTTTTTTTTCCCTATGTGAACTGTGCACGTGAAAACATAGTGCACAATATATATATATATGCTTCATAAAATAAGATGGATATTATTTGAAGGTTTCAAATTGGCATCCTCTGAATCTTTCTCAGTGATCAGCACCTTTGCCACATACAATAACTCAGTGGTGGCAGGAGAAACCTTGGTACTAAATATCACTCTCAATTTAACATTTGCCATTGTTGTT